TGCAATATTTCTTAACTGTACGAAGCATGTTTTCGATACTGTTTTAACATGAGAGTTAAACAAGAGCCTTGTGTCTCATATAGCCCTAGGTTACATGCTGAGTCTTTGAGTTAACTTTTTAAATCCTCTGAGTCAAGTGCTGAAGTTATAGTAGTCCTATCAGTATTGTTTCCTCCAAACAACAGAACCTTAGTTCTATCAGAGTTGAGTAACAAAACATTTTCACACATCCAAGTCTTTACTTCATTAATGCAATTAACTAAAGTGATGACGTGTTGTCCTAATAAACGAAATGTATATTTTAGCGTCATCAGCCTATGAATGAAAGTTAATATTATGTTTTTGTATGATCCTACCTAGCGGCAGCATGTACAGAGAGAACAATATTGGTCCCAGCACTGATCCCTGTGGTACCCCAAATTGAACTGGTGACATTGACAAAGCAGTACAATTATTAGATATTTGAACATAATGAAAACGATTAGATAAATATGAAGTTAAATACACTTAAGGATGGTTCCAGATAAGCCAACCTCAAACTCAAGCCTGTGTAACAAAACAGAGTGGTCAACTGTGTCAAAGGCAGCACTAAGATCTAGAAGCGCTCTTGCATTCCCCACATCAGTAGCTAACAGAATATCTTGTTAATGCAGTTTCAGTGTTGTGGCCTGGGCAGAAACCAGACTGGAATTTCTCAAGTATATTATTTGAGTCCAGATACCATTGACGTTGGGCCACAACTCTTCTCTCAAAAATTTTAGTTAGAAATGGGACATTGATACAGGTCTGTAGTTGTTTACTTGTGAATCCAAATTTGACTTCTTAAGGAGCAGTCTAACAAATGCTACCTTAAATTGATCAGGTACAATGTCTGATGCAAGGGACGTGTTCATCATACTAATAATAGGTCCTGCCAGTCCTTCGAGAGAATCTTTGACTAGCTGAGTGGGGACGGGATCTAGCGGACAGGTGGTTGACTTTGTCTTAATAATTAAGTTCTTGTTCATTAACTAATTGAAAAACACTAAAGAGGTATTGTTTCTGTTCCAGACTTCTTTGTGGCTTATTTGATTGTGTTTGAAGTCTGATGGTGTTCATTTTAATGTTAAAGAAGTTCATGAAATTGTCACTACTAAAGTTAGATGGTGCTATAGAATCGGTCTTATTTATTCTTATATTATTCTTTTGAATAGGTAGCGGGGGTTATTTTTATTGGTTTCAGTGTTCAGAGTCGTAGACCAAACAAGCTCTATATAAGGCATTCTATATGTTGTTGCAGGCTATCAGTCCATGCTGACTTGAATACTTGTAGACCAGTAGACCTCCATTTGCGGCACTCCTTTTTAAGGGACCATGTGTGATCATTATACCATGGAGAGTGTCTAGTGGCTTTGACTACCTTAGTCTTTAACGGGGCAATTTCATCAAGGGCCTGTCTAACCACAGTATTATAGTTATGTGTGATTTCGTCAACACTATTACTGGAGATGAAGTTAGCATTGTTCATCGTGGTCATAATGTCACGATCGCTAACCCCTCCTCCTAAGGGCGCTCCAGCCCTGCCTCGTTCCCTCCCATTGTCTGCACCTGTTCCCTATTCCCGCTCCCCCTTAAAAGCCAGACGTGGACCTCACTCCTGGTTCCTCATTGTGAGAGCCCGGGGTCCTGCTGCGTCTGGCTCTGTTATGATTTTAACTTTCTGTTCCTGATCCCCTGCCCCGCCGGTCCCGACCCGGCTCA